TCCAAGCGGGTCCAGTGCACGATCAGGAGTTTCTTGTGTTTACAAACACACACACACATCTCTTCACGTCAGTTCGGGCCACAAGCCAGCAAGGTCTCTGAGCATATGCTTAATTTAAGCTTGTGATTAGTCCTGTTGACTTGAGATTTCTTTTGGGCTTGAGTGCTTTGCTAATTCCTGGCCTCTTGTTCTGAATCTTCTTGATGTGTATTTCTCCTTTCTTCCGCAAAGCACATCAGACATGAAGTCCTGGGATTAGTGGCAAGATAATTTCTCTAGTTGGCTGCATGTTTGGTCCTCCCATAATCCAGTAGATCCAGAGTATCGTGATGTTTTGGGACATGGCATGAAGTGTGCTCCCTTCTGACATGCTTTGCCTGGGCAGGGGTTGGGGGCTGTATGTGCCTGTCTTTAGGAAGACCCTTTTCCTAAGTCTGATGCTGCGGGGCTACAGTTACACATTTCTCTAGCTGGTTGCGGGAGCTCCCAGAGACATGTTGAGAGGGCACATTTTCAATACTGCTCCACGAGAAGATTGCTGTTATTTTGCGGGACAGGATGGGATGGTCCCACTAATACCCCTATACGGACCTGACCTGGAACATCACAGCTCCAGAAGCTGAAGCATGGAGCTACCTGAAAAGGATTTGCAGCTCCTTCTTGAAACGTGTGCAGTCCGCAAGTGTGAAGCTTTCAAATCAGATGTAGTCTTCAAACGAAACAGCTGTGTAGGCTACCTATGCAAAGAGATGTGTAGATGGTCCCCCCTGCAAAGGTCTCACTTATAGGAGGTGAACCCCATTTGCCTGAGGTTGAGTATAAATTTCCTATTCGGCCTTGCTCCTGCCCTCTGGGATTGCATGGGAGCACATACTTGTCTTGTGCATCAGCATTTATGCTTGCACAAATCTATACAGCAGCTGAATTTATCAGGTAGTCAGTGACCACCATTCACGTCTTAGAGACCGGGATCCTTAATTTTCACCCTTTCCTTTCTGCCCCGGCCCAAACATGAGACAAAATCCCACTCCCCGTCCTGTGTGTCCAAAGTCCAGTGAAATGTACTTACTTTAGATCGCTCGTTTTCAAGCAGACAAAGAAGAAATGATTGTGACAAATGTTTGCACTTGTGATTAAGTCTCTACGTAGTTTACATGAAAGGGTTAAATGAGACCGGGTAGCGAACAACCAAGACTGGGAGGTGGATATCAACTCAACACGAGACAGAGTGGGACTTGAACTCATTAACACTTTATTTTAAGGGATTGCCTGCCACATCAATTATTTAGGAAGCAAACAGGGTCTCCATCGCCGCGTCGCATTATTAATACTTGATAATGTCAATAAAATCCTACTTCCCTATACCGTCCCGCCAACAAGACAGTATTGACTCACATGGCTGTTTTACATATCAAAAGCTCCTGAACAAAAAAAGGTAATTTGTATTTGTAAAGGATTTGTTGTAAATATGATTTACGAACAACATTTTTCAATTGTTATCATACCCGTTTTGAATGACCAGCCCACATTCCCCTGCGGGTTATTCATGTGCTATTCTATAATGAGAAATTTGGCAGATCTCATCTCTTTAGTGCATCCTTGTGCCCACCATGAGCCGGGGATCATGTTCTGCCTTGTTTACAGCTGACAGTGTTATTATTCTCGTTAGGACTCTGCTTTCTTATCATATTGTTGTGTTGAGCGAGCCTTTTCCTCTCCGTTTGTGTTTCCTGGCAGGGCTTTTCTTCCCTTATTGACAGTTTGTAAAAATATGCATTAATTTGGAGTTTAAAGCATGTATCATGGTGTCTCTTTGCTGTGTTTGCTTGAAGTTGATTAATGATAGAACCTCACTTGGGGTCGTCCTCTGGAGAGTTGTCTCACAGGTTCTGCATGTTAACTAGAGAAGCAGAACACACAGCAAGCGATGATTAGCCCAGCCTCCACCAGCTCAGTGAGCTGACAAACTGCTATTTTGCTTTACTGATGCTTATTTCACTTATTTATCTGAAGATTGTATTAATCAACTTAATATGTCAGCTGAGAGCATTTTCTCCAAATCCCGCGAAGAAAGCGTCTATAAGTAAGCGCTCCTCCCAGGATATTTTCCCAGCAAAGCTAAGTAATTGTAGGCTCGTTCTTGGGTAGATGCGTCCCCCGTCCCCTCCCCTCCCCCTTTTAGCAGCAAACTGAAAAAAAGTTGAGAGTCTGATGCCATTCACCCCACTGAAGTCAGGCGTAGCTCAGTGGCTCTGAAAGTCCCTACGTTTTGTAGAGGCCCGATGTCGTGTCTCCCCCCCCCCCCCC